GCTACCTTAGGTGTACGTGGCTGGCGCCTTAGCCGGTTGAGCTATAGTCGCCGAGCCTGTCTATCTTCTTTTAAAAAGTTTCTGTTCATCTCATTTGTCCATTTACTAGAGTTGCTTTTTCCTTACTGATTTGCTTAAGTTCTCTGTAGATTCTGGTTGTTAGCTCTTCTTTATCAGATGTATAGCTTAGAAATATTTTCTGCCATTCTACTAGGTATTTTGTTTGCTCTACTTATTATTTCCAGAGCCATGCAGAAAAAATTTAGTCAAATCCCATCTGTTTTTTATTATTGCTGATTGCCACTGGGTTTTTTTTTTTCATAAATCATTTTCCTAGGATGACATCTAGAAAACTTTTTACATTTTCTTAGAATTCTTATGGTCCCATGGCTAACATTTAAATCTGATTGATCTTTAATTAATTTTTGTGACCGGTAAAAGATATGGATGCTGTTTCATTCTTCTCCATGTGGCTATCCAATTTTCCCAGTACCATTTATTAAAAAGGGATTCTTTCAGCTCAGTGCCTGTATCTCAGCGGCTAGGGCATGCCTACATACACCAGAGCTGGCAGGTTCGAATCCAGCCCGGGCCTGCCAAACAATGACAACTGCAACCAAAAAATAGCCAGGCGTTATGGCAGGCACCCGTAGTCCCAGCTAAGGCAAGAGAATCACTTAAGCCCAAGAGTTTGAGGTTGCTGTGAGCTCTGACACCACAGCACTCTACCCAGGGTGACACAGTGAGACAGTGTCTCGGGGAAAAAAAAAGAGAGAGAGAGAGATTCTTTCCCCCAGTATATTCTTTCCTTTGTCAGAGATCAGTACATGAATGTTTTTACATCTGGACCCTCTGTTCTGTTCCATTGATCTAATCTGAAAATACAAATTGTTTTGGTTACTATAGCCTTATAGTACAATTTGACTAGACTTGGTCTTTTTGCTTAAGATTGCTTTGGTCATTTGGGCTCCATTCTGGATCCAAAATGAAGCCCAGAATTATGTTTTCCAGATCTATGAAATATAACTTTGGTAATTTGACAGGGACTGCATTAAACCTATAAATCGCTTGGGGTAGTATGGACATTTTAACAATGTTGATGCTACCAATCCACAAGCATGACATCTTTCCATTTGTGTCATCTGTGATGTCTTTCCTCAGTGTCTTGTTCTCTTTTTTTTTTTTTT